AGTACAAAGCCTTTTTTCCCATAATCGGGTGAACCGATATTCTCCTGTTTTTAGTTCTTCTTTTCCATCAGGAATACAGCAGGGACACAGAAGTAATTGTTTTTTGTTCTTTCAACAATAATACTATAACAATTGACAATATAAGAAAACTACACGAACGAGAGTGGTATGCCCCTTTGAAGATACCGACACGACACCGCAGCGTCTGTCAGCTGCAAACAAATCCGCTGCGATAAACACTTCTATGTGTGTAATTAATAAGTAAATACACACTGTTTAACGTGATATATATAATTAAAACAAAAGGAATAAATGTACTGCGCAATATAAACTTACCCAATTCTTCTCTGTTGTCATTCCTTCCTTTCGAAACAGGATGCAAATCCCAGCTACGGTTCCTGAGTACGCGATCGCTGCGGTGTGCATCTTCATGTTCCATTTAGCTGGGCATTTGTCTATTTCATTAATTAATTACTCGAAGTCAATTTTTTTCATTTTGTGAAGAAAAAACAATAACAAAAAAAAACTCGAAAACTAAGACGATGAACGCGATGTTGGACGTTTAGAAAACAGGTTCATGGACTATACAACAATTTCACAAAAAACTCTTTCAAATCGACTCGGGGATCGTCTCGTCGATCCACCGTCTCGGTGTAAAAACCGCCAGGTGGTACCCAACCTCTGTCATCACTCACTCTCAACAAAGAAACGACCCTCTTTACTCTCGGTAAACGCTTCGGTCAAAACCACTATATCTGTCAGAGCCTCATACAAGTTATATAATTAAGCTGGGCTGCCATTGCGCGAAAAAATCACTGGCGCAACTAAACACGAGAATTACTCGCGAAACGCTGTCTCGGGTTATCCATTTCCACGAGGCGAAACAAGGCGAGCCATCAGTCGAGCGAGGCCAAGCAAGCCGTTTATAAACTACACGAACTGCTACATCAGTGTTTGCTATCATGGCGATATTTTCAGATAAAAAGAACTAAGTTGAGTTATTATTTTAATTTATGTATAATTTTTTATTAAATCCATTATATTAAATGGTCTATTGACCAAATTAATACTTTCTATTGATTAATATTATTATATAAGGTTTTGGTTGAAATGAAAAAGTTAGTGCGGGATTCGGTGGGGATCGAGTTAGTGTCCGAGTGGATCGAAGTCACGATAGCTCAAGTGGTTAGAGCATCAGCGTATTTAGCCGAAGGTCGTGGGTTCGAATCCCGCTCGTGACACTAACTTTTCCAATTCAACCAAAACCTTACTGAAAAATTTTAAAAAGTTTAGTTGACCAAAAGACCACTAAAAATAATGGATTTAATGAGAAAAACAAAGTGTATATTCACTAACAGCTCTCCGTGGCCATTTCATATATCGCCGAGAATCGAATCCTGATTACACTACATTTCAAAAGTGGCCAAGAGGGGAATTCGAAAAGTTGTAGGTTGAGATGGAGAGTGGTTCCAGAGTGGATGGAAGTCACGATAGCTCAAGTGGTTAGAGAAGCGGCGCATTGATCGGAAGGTCATGGGTTCGAATCCCGCTCGTTATCTTACTTTTTCATTTCAACCTAAACCTTACACAAAAAGAATAATTATTTTATATCATGAGTTTTATCTTTAAGATCCCACAAAAATCGGTGTCTGTGATACAGTAGGATAGGTCGAAAGCATTCCTCCTGGTTCATTCTCATATTCGAATATTTGATACAAGTGTTTTTACACGGAGAGAGGAGAAATAACGCGAAACAATGCGCACTAAAAAACTGACAGCCGGTCGGTTCATCCTAAAACATCCTCGCGTCAAAAGCTTCGCAGTTCCGGCTAGGTCTACAAAACGCGAGTTTTACGAAACGGTTGTGCGAGTCAGTTTCGCGCAGTGGAAACTCAGCTTTATGAAATTCACTCTGAACTTCGATTAACCCACGCTCGACGGCCGTTCAAAGGTGAACCAGGATCATCGTTTGAACTATGTTCAAGACAAATTGAAAAACCACATATTTTGACTTGAACTGGGTTCTGCGCTGGACTCAGTTCAAACCAGCTTGGTGCAACAGGCCCTGAAATTATCCAATCCATTTATGAGCTCGTATTTTAAAGTACTCTACAAGAAGACCTTTTCTAACGTATGATCAATTTACGATATTTACGTTTCTTGGCGTACATTTGTGCCCTGAAAAGTTTGCCATCTCATTCAAGCTATTGGTATCGGGAATAAATCTTGAATTCGCTCGTGTTTGTTTATTTTCGATACTTTTTTTATTCCTCCCCCTTGGGCAAAACGCAACTGATCCCGGATTATTCTTCTATTTGGGTATGTCCCAACGTTACACAAAATTTGGACTTTGTGGTCGATATAAATATTAAAGTATTATTTTCCGGAAGTGGTGTGAATTATGAACTTCTACAACTTGTTTTTCTCGTGGTGCGAGCCTTATATAAACTCCCTGAAAGTAGCCATGAAAAGTGGAGCCGGAAAAATGCATAACTGTAAAGGAAATTTACATAAACTAAAGGAAAAGAAAGACAGTAGTAGAAGTTCATCATTCTCACCACTTGCAGAAAATAAAAAGAAAAAAATAACCAAATAAAAAGAAAGAAGAAAATGATTAATATATTATTACTTATCATTAAATTTATTTACTAACGTGTGCTTCTTTAAAAAGTCAAACTATATAGCCCGTGACGTTAGTTTTATTACGAACAGTAATAATGTTTACTACTCATAAAACATAAAAATTACTATTTTTATTTAGTACCCTTTTTAAGGAATTTTTGTCCGATTGTAATATCTATGGACTGGTATTTGATTTGCAACCTTTTAAATATTAAAATGAAGTCATAAAATGGTTGTAATAAAAATAGAAAAAATAATATATTATTGTTTAACCGAACAAAATATGCTGATGCCTATCTTTAAAAAAATAATAATAGGTACGATGCACAAGGATTGTGTAAGTAAAACTGAACGAGAAAATTTATATTGCTATTAATTATTTATGCTAAAACTAGAAACTTTGGCGTTCAAAAATGAAAAACATGCAGTCTATCATGTACGGTAGGTGTGTAAGTGTTAAATTTTTCTTAAGATTTTCCGTTAATTATTGTTGAATGTTTAAATGACAAATATTACGTTGTACGAATTGTATCGACAAAAATAAACACTGAGCATTGTTTGGTCCAAAGAAATTTATTAAAAATTTAAATGATTATCTTTTGATCACGCGATAATGATCACTTCGTTGATCAGTATTATCAATGTCGGATGGAATTTCAAGCTTCAGATTATTTTTACCCATGCCAACAATTCTAAAATTGATTTTCTCGTAAATATTTCTTTTGGTTAGTTTTGAGGTGAACTTTTGATTGGGCGTCACCGATCACTTTGGTCTGGTTATCCTCGTTTTGTTGATCTGTCAGACGCGTCTCGGCATTTCGCCATCTTCAGTGCGTCTATCACGAATCTGACAACACGATAAAATCTCACAGAACCTTAAACTATGGAATGTTGTACTACGCCAACAATGCTAATTTTTCAAATTTGTTTGTAAAAGTAAATTTATCGCTATAAGTAATATAATATCGTGTAATAAGTAATTAATTACATAATGCACATACTCATGAAATTTTAATTATTATTTACTATTAGTAGAGAGCAACAAAAATGTGCACACAAATTAACGAGAAAAAAGTTTTCGAAGTAATTTATGTTGTTTTGAACATATACTTTAGATTTATACAAGTAAGCAATATTATATTTATTTAAGGCCCAAAACATTAATTTAAATATTTTAAAAAAAGTTATTTTTTAAAAAGTGTTTGTGTTTAGTTGTTGTCTTTCGTAAATTCGATTGTTCTAAGTATATTTTATCCTATTTTAAATTATTTTGTATGACCAGGTTTGTATTAAGACAAACTCTACTAATACAATATTCTAGATATATTTTAAAGGTTTATTTATTGTGATTAATACGCATTTAACGAAGGGCAAGAATACAGTGAACAGAACGAATCCTAGTTTCAATCGTATGAGATATTTTTCATTTAAATAGTGTTTACAAACAATTATTCTCGATTTAAAAAAAAAAAAAAAAAAAAATCAGGAAAGATTCTTAAACCAAAAAGTTTGGGAAAAAGCTTAAGATTAAAAGACCAAATCCTCGTTTGTTATTTTCGTCTGAGCTGATACTTTATAATCATCTCATGTATGTTTGTCGTTTTCATTAGATTTGCTCATTCGACAGACTGAAATAAATTACAGGGTAAATATAAGGACATTTCTCTCTAATTTCTTTCGTAAGGCCTAAAAAATCACCACGTACCATACGAGGATATTATAAATAATAGTGCACACAGGATTGAAAAATTTTCCAGTAGGATTCCAATTATCAAATAGGGGTTAATATCAATTGGATTGTCGATGCAGAATCAACGTGATTGGATATTAGTTTAGTATTAATTAACAACTTTGTCATTTTGTTTTCTACCTAACCAATAACCTTCTTCAATAGTTATGGCGACCATTTTAACCATGGCGACCAGATGTTGCGTTTTTAAAGTGAAAAATTAAAATAATTACCAGCCTTTTTGTATCCGCTAAACTTATTTTCGAATGTCGTAAATAACAGGCATGAACACACAAACACAGAATGCAATGCTCTGGCTACACTAAGTGGCAATAGTTTGGAAATAAATCAAAGAAAAAAAATAGAAATAATACTGAGGGGATACTAACCATGCCTTGGAAAAATTATATTTTTTTCAATTATACGGTAATTTCTCTGTGGGTATTTTGAAAAACAAAAGTAAACTGAAGAGTATAATATAAGGGTAATAGAGAAAAAGAAGTCAAGTAACAATGTAGGAAATTATAGAATAAAATAATAAAATAAAATTTTACAACACAGACAGGCTCGTTTTCTCTGAAGATATTCCAATAAAAAATAATTCCACACACGTTCCTTGCGGGCAAAATTCTCTTTTGGTCAGATTTACCTTCGGCCGAGAGCGAGATTGTTTTATATGGGAATATTTATGGGGGGAAAATCTAAAATTAGAAATGAATTGGGACTCCGTCCATTCGAGTACGAACCGTGTTTAAATGTGAGAAAGCGGCTTTTTAACTTAAAAATTCGGCAATCGCTTTCTACCCGCACCGGAGGCCGGTTAAGACTGAGAGTAGGTGCCGCCTCACGGCGCGGCGTCCAAGGCAGCCCCACTTCGCGGCAACCCCCACCAGAGGGGAGAATTTCGCCCCCACCCAGTGAAAACCCTTTTCAATTCTATTTCCTATCCTATCATTGGAAACAAAAAAACAAATTTGATCGATTTTCATGAAGAAAAACGACATTTTCCCCGAGCGACATCTATAAATCTTGTTGTTAATCACTTACACTTCTTCTTGTTACACTTTATCCTTTTGCAACCCATCTCGTTACTAAATGCGTACGGGGATAAAAGCTTTCAGAAATTCTATCAGGATATCAATTGAATGTAAATTTTTTTCTTGAATTGCATCAAACTGAAAGTACACGAGATAGTGTTAAAGTAAGGGGATGACAGCGATGTAGAAGAAGAAACGAACATACAAAAAACTGAACAACTATTATGAACATATAGAGTTGGCAAATGGAAGAAGAAAAGAAATAATTGATATTCAAATATTACAAAAAAAAAAGGGCAAACAGAAACAAAATATAGATTTAGACGCTTTATTCAATTCCAATAAATTTTCCATATCTATGCCCCTTATTCAGATGTATCAGTAAAACATTCTAGAAAATGAGTACCATTTTCCATATTAAACGAAAGTTTTCTTAACCAGAATGTACCCGAATGTACAACAGGGGACTATTTAGATGAATAACGGTAATTTGATATGTTTTTCTTAAATATTTTTTTTAAGCGATAGATGCTTAAATAAATAAACAATACAGTGTCTTTTTTTTATGATCCAGCTGAATTTCTCTTGATCCAATGGCGCAATCAAAAAAAGAAAAAATCCGTGTTTAATATATTTTAGTCTAGTTTCAAATTTTTACGTTTTTTGGAGAAAAATTATACCGGGTACCTCAGGCCCAATTCAACATCAAAATTTCAATGACTCTACACATCCTAAACCATGGTGCAATTTTATTTTAAAATTGATCAACTAATGACAAAGTTATCGCAAAAAGTTAGAGAACACCGTCTACAGGGTGTCTTTTTTAGATGGCTCGGCTGAATTTCTCTTTGAACCAATGTATTAAACAAACAAAAAATACATCTCTACTATTTTTTAGTCTAGTATCAAATTTTTACCTTTTTGTTGGAGAAAAATTATACAGGGTACATCAGGCCCAGTTCAACATTAAAATTTCAAATATGGCCCTATAAATCCTGACACGTGGTTTTAAAGGTGTGTGTAAAAGAAAACAATGGTGCAATAGGATTTTAAATTGGTCAAAAAATGACAAAGTTATGGCAAAAGGTTTTGGGGGAAAAGCGTTCTTGCTTCGTTAATGTTTTTCCAAACAATTTCGAAAAGAAACTATCAGCAAAAAAAATTATTAGTAGTTTTATATCATATTTACACAATTTTGGCTCTTTTTCATTTATACTCAAGTGAACGAGTATTAAATTGAAATAAGAAAATAGAAACAAACATGGTTTTTTCATTTAGCAAAAAGGGTTTTGGATGCAAATTATTAAGCCAACTGTCAATCAAAAAAAGCTATGACCGCGTCTCCTTTAGATGGTCAGGCTGAATTTCTCTTGAACCAATGACGCTACCAAAAAAAGTCTTTAAGATTTTTTTTGTCTATTATCAAATTTTAACCTTTTTTTGAGAAAAATTATACAGGGTAACTTAGGCCCAGTTCTACTTCAAATTTCAAATTCCTGACACATCATTTCAAAGAATTTTTCGCGCTGAAAACGATGGTGCAATCGCGTTTTAGATTGATCAAAAAATGTCAAAGATATGGCAAAAAGTTTTAGTGAAAAAGCGTTCTTGGATTTAGTAATGTTTTTCGAAACAATTCCGAAAAGAAACGCATACAAATTGAACGTTTTTCTAATAAAAATTACCTTTTTATATCATATTTTAATAAATTTTGACTCTTTTTCATTTACACTCAATCAAGCGAGCATTAAATTTAAATAAGGAAATAAAAACAAACATGATTTTGTCATTCAGCAAAAAAGGGTTTTGGATGCAAATTATTAACACGTGACCGCGTGTCCTATTTAGATTGCCAGGCTGAATATCTGTTGAGCCAATGATGCTACCAAAAAAAAGGACGTGTTTAATATTTGTTAGTCTAGTTTCAAATTTTTATCTTTTTTTGGAGAAAAATTATACAGGGTAACTTAGGCCCACTTCTACTTCAAAATTTCAGATACGACCCTATATTTGACCAATTTAAAATCCGATTGAACCATTGTTTTCAGCGCAAAAAATTCTTTAAAATCATGTGCCAGGAAGTATAGGGTAGTGTATGAAATTCTAAAGTTGAACTAGGTGTGAGGTACCCAGTATAATTTTTATCCGAAAAAAGGTAAAAATTTGAAACTAGACTGATAAATATTATACGATTATTTTTTGTTTTTTTGATAGCATCATTGGTTCAAGAGAATTTCCGCCGGGGCATCTAAAAATGATACCCTGTATAATGAAAACAAAATGATAAAACAAAATTCTAGAACGTTAAGAGATCTACAGAAACAACAAATAAAATGTTAAGTATTAGAGGTCTTCTTTTTAAGACTATAGAGAGACTGAGAAAAAATCACTTTCCACAGGGATTAAGTTTACCAGGGAGGCGAGTCAGCTAAGCGTACTCGGTGCGATGGCGATCATAAAAAAGTTTGAACCTCTCCTAAAAGACGACGAGGAACTGGAAAGCGTAGCAAGAATTTCTGGAAAAAATGTGAGAATTGATCACTTTCCATATGTGGGTAACAGGCGACACGCCGTCTGTCTGACAAAGTGTGAAGCCCAGTAAAAAGAAGCCTATGAACTTAGACTAGGTAGAAAAGCAAGTATCTAGTAGCCTTACGCTGAGCAGATTCAACCAGAATAATCTCAATTTTAAGAAATCGATCTGAGACCATACAAGCATACTCAAGATGACTGATAAGCTATAGATTATAATAGTTCCGCAGCTTGGCAAAATATGTTTCTTTGATAATGATGATTGCTGCGTACGTGCCAGCTTTCAAAGTAACATTGGTTATGCAATTGTAGTGTGGGGTCACTCAAGTTCTCACCCGATGATTTTTAAATAGCAAAGGAATGCTGTTTGAATATTGGCAAGGCTGAGCTATAGAACGGACTGTAGGAGCGAAACACAATATAATTAATACGAACAAGCATAAAATTATTATAGAGATGCTTAACGGCGGACCGTAAATATTTTTTGTTGGTGCAAACGGAGATGATCGTTGATAGCATATGGCATCCAATATGAACCGGTACAGTTAGCCTTGCTTTTGAATAAATTGTACACCGGTGCTTATATTTAGCCCGTTTCTATGCACGAATTCGAGCGATGAACTCGTTTGATGGAAACGAGGTAAATTAAATTAAATTTAGTGATTTAGAGCGTGTGGAAGTGATACAGGATGAACCGATTTCCAATTCTACACAAAAGATTAGAATAGAACCAACATTGGTAACGCTGAGTACCACGCTCAATCAAAACATGCCTACCAGATCACAGAAATTAATGCTTTGATGGGTTAATAATTTTAATATCTATTAATACTAGATGCGTTAATACTTTCAACATTTCAATGTTTTACCAACCTTTTTTCTGTAAAACTAGGCAAAATTCACAAGTCAAATTATATTACAAACGTTATATATGCGTATGTATATATAAATTATATATTGTTTATATATAATTTATCTGACAAGAGAAATAAATGAATTTGAATAAAAATTGGCACTGTCAAGGCTGATTTTGTTCAAGGAGTTTTACTTGTGGAAGTATTTATGTCAATTAAAAAGCTGGACGTGGGAGTTTCTAAGGGCTTATTCCAATTTGCACCCTTACAGCTCTGCAATCACAAAAGGCGAGAATCATAAATCATGAGGAGCCAGATCGCTCGGATTAGACTTGCAAGACCTGGCTACAAGTTTAAACCCAATTTCGTTTTATCAACGCCTACGGACTTAACTGCGAATGCCCTCCCTCTTTAAAAGTGCTGTCCGACCTGTGCAGGGAGATTTCAAAGTTCTTCACGTTAATTGGCAGAGAAATTCGAGGTGATCCTTTACACCGAACCCTGAGGAAGGGAACCGGATAGGAATGGATGCTGCTTTTGTTTAAATCTATTCAGGTTGACGTTGGCGAACAATCAAAATATATCAGTTTTTCAACATTGACTTTCTAAAACTAGAAAATGGATAAAGTAAAAAATGGTCAATTGATCGGTCGTTATTATACGGAAATCTTAAAAGACAATAACTCGTCAAATATCATATTTCAACGTAAAGAAAAAAATATATTACATGTATTTGTACAAATCAACACAGAAAAAAAGTTTTCCGATCTTCCTGGAGTTACATTAAAAAAATTAAATAATTGTAATTTATAGAATATGTTTAATTGGGTTTTACTTAAAATTAAGAAAAATTTTGATAAAACAATGTAAATTATAAACTGCTCAATAATAAATAGGGATATTTGTAATATGTTCTAACTCTAATAATTTTAATTAAATTGACTGATATATTCTTGTTAGTTGGATAAAACAAAACTGAAAATAGAAACCAAAAACAATCAAATGTTACTCCTCATTTTTAATAAACGATTTCTTAAGGATGGCAAACATGAAGATTATTCATTTTATAACACCTTTTCTTGTGTTTTCTCTGTTTTATTCCAGCTGTATTCTCTTTAATCATGGAAAGACATAATCTTGAACCAGAAGTTCGCAATATTATTGTGAGAATGTGTCATCGAGATCACCGGCAAATGGATATCGCACATGCAGTTGGTGTTTCTCAGAGCGTGGCCTTCCGGGCTTTAGAAAGTGCCAATAGGAGACTGGAAGTGGATCATAACGCATTACGATGCTAAGGATGGACAGAGATATTGTCATTGCTGTAAGACGGAACCGTTTTCGTAATGCACGCATGATCCTAAATGAAGTAAAAGATGTTTTGCCAAGGCTTGTATCAACATATTGTGGGAAGTTGGCCTCATATCGTATGCCTCTGTGAGACAACCTGGAGGAAAGCCAGCCACCAGAAACTCAGGAGGAGTATGGTTCAGCGAGTGCCTAGAAGAGAACACCAATTGGAATTCTGTTATGCTTACTGATGA